TCTCTCTCTCTCTCTCTCTCTCTCTCTCTCTCTCTCTCTCTCTCTCTCTCTGTGTTGATACAGGGATGCAGGTTTTTATTATGTGACCCAGGCTTTCCTATAGTCCCAACATATAGTCCCAAAGCTGCCCTTGACCTTGGAATCTTCTTGCTTCAGCCTCCCTAGTGCTAGGTTATGTAGACTTGTAACCACCATCCTTGTCACCAGTGACCAGTCTTTGCTGGTGGGATATTCCACTGTGTTCCAGGGGTGGGCTGGGGGGGTTGGGTTGTTGTGACAGCCATCATCTCTGGTCCTTTATGTCCCTGAGCTAGATAGACCCCGGGGACACAAAGAGACTCAGAGATGGTCTCAGACTCCAGAGTATCTAGACTGTGGGAACTTGGATCAGGGACATGATAGCCAGGCTGACGTGACACAGAGCCAGTGGGGCGCAGGTGGTCCCCACTTGACCTCTCTGTAGAGTGTCTAGTGGGGTCAAATGCTGGAATCAGAGGCTTTGCTGATGGAGACATAGGGAGATATGGAGAGATGTGGCAGGTGGGACCTTGGAGGTCTAGACTGTGTTCCTGGGCCGCAGAGCCCCAGAATGGTCCACTCACCATTTCTTTTTTTTCTTTTTTTGAATATCTTTTTTTTTTTTTTTTGGTTTTTCGAGACAGGGTTTCTCTGTGTAGCCCTGACTGTCCTGGAACTCACTCTGTAGACCAGGCTGGCCTCGAACTCAGAAATCCACCTGCCTCTGTCTCCCAAGTGCTGGGATTAAAGGCATGCGTGCGCCACCACCGCCCGGCTACCATTTCTTTCATATACTTTTCTCTTTCTGAGAATCTCTCGGGCACTGTAGGCACGGAGGACACAAGTGAGAACAGGTAGGGAAGTCCCTGGCCCCCCAGGAGTTTACATGATAGTGTGTGAAGTAAAGAACTCACAGTACCAAGGTGTCATGTGATCTCAGCTGGCACAAAGCCTGGTGGGCCTGCAGGGACACCCTGATGGAGGTGTCACACAGTGATGTCAGCAGGGAGCTGCAGGAGCCCTCAGTGGCATGCTGTCAGAAGAGCAGCTGGCCCAGGGAAGGGGCTCCCGGAAGCTGGAGGTTAGGAGACAAAGATGGGGTAGCAGGACACCTAGGCTCTTTTAAATCTATAGGATGCACCAGAGGCCTTGGCCTGGGGGGAGGGGTGCCTCCTTTTCCTTAGTGCAGAAGAAGCACATTTGCATATACCCGCCCCTCCCATTGCCGGTATGGCCTCCCAGGCGGTGGGCGTTGCCCTGTTTCAGAGATGAGGTGGCAGATACCTGTGCTGGGTACTGCCAGGAGCACAACAGCATAGCCAGCCCATGTCCTCACAAGACGCTGGTGGCTGAAGGGGTGGGTGCCCCGTGTTAGGAGTCAGGCAATTACCACAGTCACCTGGCTGGCTGGGTGAGTTAGGGAGTCACTACCCTGAGGGCCCGGGCAGACTTTGGAGCATCCAGGCTTTAAGTGTCTTCCCTGAGGCCAGGAGGTTGTTAGTCAAGGTGTGGCTGGGACTTGAAGGACCATGAACTGCCAGTCTGACTGCTGAGTCACCAGGCAGGGTGTGGTTGGCTTAGGTTCTCCCTTCTTGGGCCCTAATTTTCCCTTCAGAAAAGTGGGGACGACTTCCTTTAACAAGGCAGGATCTTTCCTGCTCTGACAAAGGAAGGACAGGGTTGCTCTTGCTCCTACAGACCCAAAATGCTTGACCCCACGGAGAGACAGATCTAAACTACTAGGTCCTTGAGGGTGTAAGAGGGGCAGTAGGGGCCCCTAGGTTTGGACACAGGCCCCTGAGTCCACACGCCTCAAGGCCATCCAGTGGACAGTGCTGGGAGTGTTCCTGGCCTCTAATTCTCAAGACAACTATTGATTAGGGCCTGTGTTCACTGTTGTGTGAATGTGTTTAAGGCCAAAGGGAGGAAGTCCCTCGTACCAGAGCTGGGCAGGAAACAGGCCTGTTCCCTCTGTCTACAGAGAGCCTGCAGGGGCCTCTGTTCTCGGTGAGCTGTTTCTGGTGGGAGGAAAGCCCAGTCAGAGGTTTCAGGTAGAGCAGGAAGCATCTCAGCTAAAGCCCACAGGAGCAAAAAGCCCGAGTGCGCATGTGCCCGTGGTGGTCTCTGCAGGCACAGAGGCCATGAGGTTTTGGTGGAGCAATGGGAGAGACTGCTTAAGGGGAGGCCAGGCAAGAACAGGGTCTTGCCACGGACCTCTGGCTAGCCTGAAATCTTGCTCTGTAGGCTAGATTGGTCTTAAACTTCTGGTGATCTTCCTGCCTCTGCCTCCTGGGTGTTGGAATTATAGTCTCCCTCCATGTCATTTTGTGTGTGCAGCAGGGGGACCGGAGGGGGCTTTTTTTTGAGGCAAGATCTTATATGGGCCGCTTAGAACCTGGTACACAGCCAAGGTTGGACTTGAACTTCTGACTTGACTGCCTTCGCCTTCAAGCGTGTTGTGCTTCCATGCCTAGGTTACAACTTTGTAATGAAAATTATACAAGAGCAGAAGGAATGCCCTCATCGGCCCCAAGTCCTTCGGTTTCAGTTGTCCGCGGTGACTGATGTCGTCGTCCCCTTGTGCCGTGCTGTTCAGCAGTCAGCCCAGTTGTCTTATTACTTGCTTCACAGACAGATGCAATGTTCTTTTGTAAAAAGTTTTAGACAGGATAGCACACTATACCTCAGCCTGGACTTGAACTTGTGACAGTCGTCCTGCCTTAGCCTCCTACATGTTGGGATTGCAGGCATATGTCAGCACTCCGCCGCCGCCACCTGAAAGTTTTCAGGCTCTTTTCCCGGGTCACAGTGGCTCCTTCCTCAAGAGGCAGCAGCTACTAGCCTCTCTCTGAAGCTCTGTGGCGGCCTCTCTTGTCTAGTTCGGGTGATGGAGTTAGGAAAAGACCTGAGCCAGGCGACTGGAGCGGGAGCCCACTGCTGACTCCAGGTGGGCCTTTACTCCAGGCTAGCCCTTACTGTGGTCTGTATTTCCACGGAGGCCCCTCGGGCTGGGAACTTCAGTGCTGTGAGGATCTATATCTTCTCTGTCCTCAGCACACCCACCCAGGAATGCCAAGGGAGGTCCGTCTCAGACACTCCGGTTGGAACCTGCTCGCTCCGTCAATCCGGTGCCCACTTGCGAAGCCCCTCCCACTTCTGCATCCTTTTCTGCCCCCAAAGTGAGCCGGGAACGAGGTGGTGCTCGGGTCCATGTGTATAGGAAGCAGACACAGCTTCCTCTTTTTTAGGAAGGCAGAGGCCACTGGGTAGCTGCATGTCCCCCGAATTACCAGTACAGTGCTGTAGGTAGCCTGAGCCAGGCACACCCTTCTCTCTGCCTGTCCCTTCCTCCTAAGTGTCTCAGCTGCCCTGCCCTTGCTCCTCACCCAGCAGCTGTGGTGGTCAGGTGGTCTTGTCCCCATGTCACTCATGCTTAGGGCCCGGTACTTACCGTGACCTCTTGAGGACAGTGCTACTGGAGACCACTGGGTTATGGAGAGGTGTGGTTACCTTCAGACGTCCACAGCAGGGGCTTTGCTGACAAATGGGACCAGACCTCCCAACCCTGCTGCCAGTGACCTTCTGACACCTCTGAGCTGCACTGTTCCCGAAGCCCTAAGCTCTTTTCTCCCTGGGCAGACACACCCCCCTCCCACGTCGCTGGTCTTCCTGGCTAATCCAGTGTGCTCCTTACACCTCACTTCAAGTGCCATTTCTAGAACGGAACTCTAAATTAAAGTCCCTGCCTATCATCTTCCCTCCCGACCTTAGAATGCCTTGTAATTACGTGTTTATATATGCTGTGTGACAGGCAGTGGGCAGGGTTGGGCAGTTAAGAGCCTGGGCTCCGAACAGAGCGGGGCACCTCGGCTAGAATTCTGGAATGGTCCAGCTTGGTGACTCAACCTCTGGGCCTCAGTTTCCTCATCCACAAAAAAGGAGGCCGAGCATCACCTTGTAAAGCCGTGGACATGATCACAGGGCTCAGAGGGCAAGGTGCATGCATCCGGGGCAGCCAGAAGAGAGTCCACCCAAGTGTCACCTGTTCATGCTGGTTCAGGGTAAAGGAGAGGCTGTGGGCTGAGCAGGTGATTCAGGGCCAGGGTGGCGCTTTGGTGGGTGGAGCTCACTGTTGGAGCCTCTTGTCCTTCTCTTTCCTATGATCTGTTTCCAGGTCAGAGGTGGACTGTGCTCTGGTAGGTAGAGCATTTCCTCATTTATAAATGGCAGTAAGGAAGGGACCCTTAGGATGAGATGGGGTAAGACAGGAAGAGCCCCCAGGGGTGAGCGTGACCTGGGAGGAGAGTGCTAACAGTGGGCAGCTTGTCCCCCTGCCCCACCTGTGGCATGCCCTTCTTCATCCTTGGATGCCTGGTGCTCTTAAATACTTTCCCATGTCTCTGTTCTACCTTCCCGTGGCTTGAGTATATGGATGGTTTCCATGTCTGTGCAGTAGTCTGTGTATTTGGGAAGAGGACCAGGGAAGGGCCTGGCTGGGCTGGAAGTGGGTGCCTTACACAGCGCTTTGCTGGGTGAGTCTGGGCAGAGGAGGTGGGCAGATCATTCTGTGAGGGTGTGAGGGGAAGGCAGACCGTGGGAAGGTGGGGCGGTGTTTGGGAGAGTTGATGAAGGAGGAGGTTGACTTAGGGACCCAGCGGAGAGGCCAGGGCCTGGGTGGGGATCACGTGGGGAGAGAGGTGGGTTTCGAAATCACAGTTCCTGATTCTGCGGACCTCCACGTGCTGTGAGCCCCTGACCCTGGCACTGTACCAGTTGCTCTATTTAATCCCCGTGGCTACCACGCAGCAGCAGAGCCCTCTTGTTTGTTTGTGTTTTTCAGATGGGGAAACAGGCTCAGAGAGGTGAGGTCACATGCCCCACAGCTAGAGCATGGCAGAGCTGGGAGTCACTTTCAGGTGTGTGGGACCCCACCAGCTGCCTCTGGCTCTGCCTCTGCCCAGCCCTGTGTAGCCTTGAGCGGCTTCTGATCCCCCACTCCCATGGTCCCCACCCTTACTTGGGAAGTTGTGGTCAGAGGCTTTTGGGAGGCAAGGATGGAGGCCCAGAGGGCTTATCTGGCCTTTAGGATAAGATAGCCGGGCCCACGAGCAGCCCTGGGAACTGAGGCTGACCCCTCCGGGCTGAGTTTTTTGGGCCTCCAGTGGACAGGATGGGGTTCCCCTCAAGGTAGAAAGAGGAAGGCTCTGGGGGAGGAGGAGGAAGTGAGTGTGGTAAGAAGTTCTGGGGACCTGCCTTCCTGCCTTCTTCTTTTTGCTCTCTGTTGGATGTCTGTGAAAGGTGACGGGCGCCCACTGCGGAAGACCCATCTTCCCAGGGCTTCGATTTCCTTCTGGGTTGAAGGTGGCCCTTGACTTCAGGGTTAGGGCATGCCCAGGGTCAGTCACAGCTGTCGGCCTCTGCAGTGTCAGGAACACCCACCGAGTTGCAGCCTCCTCGCTGGCACAATGCTTTCTGTCCCCTCTTGTCTTTGTTATATTCTCATTAACAGCCCTGTAGGCAGGGACCATGACTTGATCTAGGTGGGGACTGTGCTTACAAAGGCTCTGATTTTCCCAGAGGTACTGCTGTCTGGATCCAGGAGGCCCTGCCAGGCTGTCTGACCTCGGATTCCACTTCAGATCTGTAAATGCCATGTTGTAGGGGCCTGCCTCACAGGGTTGTTTGTGGCTTGAGCTGTGACTCTCACACTTGGAGTCCCGGATGTTTGGCAGTTGTTGGTGCTATGGAAAAAGTGTTGGCTACTGTGGCCCATAAACATAGCTGGACCTGAGTCGGGCAGTGGTGGCGCAGGCCTTTAATCCCAGCACTTGGGGGGCAGAGTCAGGTGGATTTCTGAGTTCGAGGCCAGCCTGGTCTACAGAGCCAGTTCCAGGACAGCCAGGGCTACACAGAGAAACCCTGTCTCGAAAAACCAAAACCAAAAACCACCACCAACAACAAAACATAGCTGGACCTGGTACAACTGTGCCCCAGTGGAGGTGACAAGCCCAACTCCATGCTTGCAGTGACTCTTAGAGGACCATCTTTGTCCCCTGCACAGAGCTGCTCCCTCCTTTGGGCAGATGCAGGTAGAGGCCAAATGACAGGAACTTACCTTAAAGTGTTTAAGGGAGAGTGCGAACTAATGGCGGTGCCTGCCGGTCCTGATGGTTCTTCCCGATACACTACACGGTGAACTCGGGGATCTCTTTCCCTCTGCAGTTGGCCCCGTGTGGGCTCCATTCCCCTCCCTGGGTGACCCAGTAGCCCTTAGCAGCCTTGGGCTCACTCTGTCATTATAGAACACTATACCCTCAGCGGAGGCAGGTCTTCTGGGCTTTGCTGATGCCCCTTGCTCCCTGGAGCTTGTAGGGGGATGGGCTGTGTATAATCTGAGATGCTCTCAGTGTGAGAGGTGGGTATGAAGCTGGCTGCCAAAAACCAGGTCCCTTGGCTTCTGCATTGGTTCGTTCACAAACAAATACTGAGCTCTGTATGCCCAGGTGTGTGCCTGAGCAGCATGCAGAGTCCTTCAGGGTGTCACTACCTGGGGAACTCGGGATGCCGCTGCTGGAGTAGGTTAGAAGATGACAAGGACCTTGGGGAAAACCAAGCTGGGTCTGGGGAGCTGGAGGTGCTGCCAGAGTGAGGGTGGCGGATCTAGAGTGGTCTGATCTGGGTGGGCCTCACGGGGAATCGGGCATCGGAACAAAGGGTTGTAGGAACTGGGGAGAGAAGAACCCTCAGTGGTGAGAGGTGGTGTTGAACTGGAAGGAGGAGCCTGCCTTGTGATTCAGGGAGCAGCAAGGAGTTGAGTTTGGAGAGGGTGCTGTAAATCAGGAGCAGAGAGGAGTAGGCAGCAGGACTTCCTTGGTGTGGGTGTGGGAGAGGGACGGTGGGAGGGGGTACAGTGCAGTTCCTGCTGATGCACCCCTCCTTCTCCTGCAGACATCCGGCTCCGGGTTCGGGCAGAGTACTGTGAGCACGGGCCAGCCTTGGAGCAGGGCGTGGCATCCCGGAGACCTCAGGCGCTGGCCCGGCAGCTGGACGTGTTTGGACAGGCCACTGCTGTGCTTCGGTCAAGGGACCTGGGCTCTGTGGTGTGTGACATCAAATTCTCGGAGCTCTCCTATCTGGATGCCTTCTGGGGTGACTACCTGAGCGGTGCTCTGCTGCAGGCCCTTCGGGGCGTGTTCCTGACTGAGGCCTTGCGGGAGGCCGTGGGCCGAGAGGCCGTCCGCTTGCTGGTCAGCGTGGACGAGGCTGACTATGAGTCTGGCCGGCGCCGCCTGTTGCTGATGGAGGAGGAAGGGGGGCGGCGTGGGACAGAGGCCTCCTGATCCCGGGTCTGCCAGGACCGACCCCACCTCCAAGTCTCCGGGCCACCAGAAAGACGATCATCTCGCTCCCAGACGACTGTCACTCAGCGGCTCAAGGGCGGCATCGGGACGGCAGGTTCCGTGATAGCCTCTACGATGTGGGCTTTGAGGCATAAACCACTTTCAGCTGCTTCCATCCTAAATTCCCCACTCCCAGGTGGATCCCCTCAGCTTTGGGGGCCGAGGATCACAGAGCCCCGAAGCAGGGAGACATAGCCCCCCTGCACATCGTGTCTCTCACCCTGGGCTGATGCTGGCTGGCCCCACACGCTTTAGCCTAAGGGCTACTCTCTCAGGATCTCAGATTTACTGTCCCCACGTGGGTTTCAGCCACAGCAGTGGGCTCTGGAGCTGGGGCGCCCATGGGCGTGCTCACCTTGCCCCTTCATCTAACCAACCCGGGCTCTGCCAGCGGCACACAGACAGCCAACTCTCGTCACCTTCCCCTGCTCTCTGGAACGAGACAGACCTGCCCAAGGCTCCTTTAACCCAGACTGTCACGTGGGCTTCGTGGCCACATCAGATCAAGAGCAGCTGTTTCGGACAGAGCTAGGACCAGAGCCAGCTGCTTTCTCGTGAAGGGAAGGCGAGGACTTGGGCTGATGGGAAGGTGTTTCACAAACTGCGCCAATAAAACTGCCCTGGAAAGGGCATAGTTGGGCATCGAGGGTCTCCAGTACTTTTTGTTGGTTGGCAAGGGGAAAGGGCTGGAGAAGAGCAAGGTGCTAGCTCATCTGCCAATCGCATCTGCCTCAGGCGTCTCCATCCCTTGGGCCTTGGTTTCTTTAATCGGCAAAGGAAATAAGGCCTCAGCATCGCCGATTCCCAGCCTGTTCACATGTGCTTTGTAGGATTCTGTATGTTCACGGAGGGGAAATCTTTCTAAGTTTTATGTGTATGGGTGTCCTGCTTGCATGCGTGCCTGTGTGCACCACATGTGTTCTGGTGTCCAAGGAGGCCAGAGAGCGGGTGTCAGATGCCCTAGAACTAGAGTTACAGCCAGCCAAGTCACTGAGGGTGCTGGGTCTTCTGGAAGAGCTGCCAGTGACCCTAACCACTGAGCTGCTTCTCCAGCCATTTTCAATTGTTCGTATGGGGGGAGGAGGAGAATCACCCGGTGGGGGAGGGGGTGTGCGCACTTGAGCGTAGTGCCTGTGGATGCCTGAGTTGTGAGAGATCCCCCTGGAGCTGAAGTTCCCACAGGTGGTAAGCCGTCTGACATGGTAGCTCAGAACTGAACTCTGGTCCTCTGGAAGAAGACTCCATGATTTTTTCGCCCTCTCAGTGAGAGGCCCTGATTGTTTCCAAAGCTGTTGGAGCCCTGGGAATGGGGAGCTGGGGGAGCCTGGGGTTCTCGCAACCCTCCCTCTCTGACCTGGGTTTCAGGGTCCAAAGCTAAAGCCCTGCTTGCCACTGTGCGGCTGAAGGGAAGCATGTGAGGCCTCTCCTGCCTTCTCTCAGAAGGCAAAGGCTTGAGATTGTCTCTCACACAAAATCAAGTCTTCCATCCTTAGGGCCTAACGAGCAAAGACTGGAGAGATACAGGTAGGTGGGAAGAGATTCCAAGGGCTGTCCTCTTCTGAGACAAGAAGTGTTCCTGCCCATGCCCAAGTGCCCTTCCTGGACCCCTAATGGTTGGCGGACAGGAATGATGTAGGGGCTGAGTTCTGTTCAAGGGTAGAGGTGGGGCCTGCCGGCCTCTGTGTCCTCAGAACCTGCTTTTACTATTTCAAAGGAAAGTTCTACTAGGTGGTCTGATTCTAAGCTGTGCTGTGTGGGTTTAGTGAAGGGAGTGCCCTGGAGGACCAGCAGTTGCAGGCAGGCTGGACCAGTGAGGGAATCTCGCTTAAGTAACCCTTTCCTGTCTGGCCCGGGAAGAGTGTAGGCTTTCTTTTGTTAGTTGGTTGAGAACTGGGTCTCACTATGTAGCCCTGAAACACACAATGTGGACCAGGCTGACCTCAGAGGTCTGACTGCCTCTTGCCTCCAGAGCTCTGGGATTAAAGGTGTGAACCACCACATACACCTGAAGCTGCCGCTCTCCTGTTCAGGCCTTGAGGTAGCTCTCCTTTTCTGTCAGCCACAGTCTGAGGCTTCTGGCTAGCCAGGTTTCCCATTCCAGGTCAGTCCTTTCCATACCTCTCTCTGACAGTTTTCCCCAACATATTCTAGGAGGCCTCTCCTGCCTGTTATCTCCACCCCCACATCACCCTATCAGCTCTCACTGTGTGCGCCAGGAGGAAGTTAACCTAGGTTGGAGGGAAGGGACCTGAGCAGGTGGAGTGTGTTCCCAGAAGTCTGTAGTGGCACGAGCCTGAGGTGTTACCCTGGCGCACCTGAAACTCTCCACGGTGCATACTCTATGAGCCCCTCCTGGGCTTGTCAGAGAGTTTTGGGTACCGAAGAGGTTTTGCAGGTTCCCCAGAAGTGGCTTACACCAGGACCATGAAGGCAACTCAAGAGCTTCAGAAGTGAAGAAGCAGGAGTTTGGAGGGCAGAATGCAGACAGGATCTTACCACTGAGATAGGACCCTGTTGGGGTTTGAGGAGAGTGGCCCATCACTCCACAGAGGAACGGCTGAGGGCTGGCCCTGGAATGAGACATTCCCCAGAATGATCCCACTGTGTGGGGCCTCGGGGGGGGGGTGAGGGAGAACAGTCCCTACCAAAGCCTTAGGATATTCCTGAATTGGATGTAAAGAGGCTGAGCAGGGGAGACATTAAGTGGGGAAAAGCCACCTACGTTGTTATTTGGTCTGAAGTCTACCGCCGCCACCTTCTGTATGGGGAGTTGAGAATTCTCAGAGACAGAGGTGAGCCCTTGGCATGATAACCTGAGATGACTGAGGCGGCCCTAGTGCCCTTAGAGATTGGCAGCAGTTGTTCTATGAAACCTCCATGTAGCTGGGTTGAACTGAAGATCTCGAGGGGATTCCGGGTTAGGCTCGAGAAGAGCCCCTGTTTTGTTGATACCTCAGACTGGCACCCCAGGACTCACAGGCCAGAGTGACCAGACAGCTGTAACTGAGTGGTTGGGATGCTCGGGAGAAGCCCAAAGGATAGTGAATGGAGAGATGTGGCCTGTTTACTAGCACGGCCAGGTCCAACACAGTACATGCCTCTTAACCCCCAGAACCCAGGGGAGAAAGCAGGAGGATCAGGAGTTCAAGGCCATCCTCAAACTCAGCAAGTTTGAGGCCAGCCTGGTCTTCTTGAGACCAGGTCTTCCTGCCTCAAAAGCAACAAAGACAGAAAAACTACCATGTCACTGAGTATTTGAGTCATGAAATACAACTTTCAGAAAAGTATGGAAGATGCCACATGTAATGTACATCTCGTGTGTAACCCCATGTTAAGGGGGGGAAAAAAAGCAAGCCATCTCTCCAGGAGGCCCCTCCCAGCTTTTCTGCTCTTTCTCACTATGTAGCCCTGGCTGACCTGGAACTCCCTATGTACACCAGGCTAGCCACAAAGTCAGAGATTGACCTGCCTCTGCCTCCCGAGTGCTGAAGTTAAGGGTGTGGAACACCACTGCTAGTTGGTACAATATATTTTTATTTTTCATATATCTTGTGTTGTGTCTTATTTTGCCCACTGCTATGCTGTGAGGTTCTTCCATGTTGTGTTTCTCTGGAATTGATGTGTTTTTATTGCAGTGCGTCATCCCAATGTGTGGATACAGTACTAATTCACGTGCCGGGTGGGTATTTTGAGTTATCCCCATTTGAAGGTGCTATGAACGTTCTCAAGCATGCTTGTTTACTTGTTTTGTGTGCGAACAAATTCTTTCCACTGGGGTCTCCCTTGAGGTAGAATTGCTGGTCATAGTTGTTCATGGGTTCTGCTTTCATAGATACCATCTGAATACTGCATCCCATAATCCTGATTAGGTTACTACAAACATATTGATTGAACAGATTCTCAGCTTCCATGTGGATGCTGGAAACCAAACCCAAGTCCTCTGGAAGAGCAGCCAGTGCTCTTAGCCAGTGAGCCATCTCTCCAGCCCCATTTCTGCTTCTTCTTGAGTCAAGACTTTGTGAGGGAGTGAAGCGGGCAAGGCAGCCATGCGTCCCACACTCCGCTCCACCCCAGCCTTAGCATCCTGCTGCACACCTGCCTGCCCTGTGATGACCTCTCTTTATTGTTACATTGTGACACATTGTCTTTCTGCCTCATCAGTTGACCAGCCTCTGTTTTATACCATTCCCTGGACCATACCTTGGACTGAGTCATTCCCTGGAAGTGTACAACAAACGAAGGGACATTTCCTGAGTCCTTATACCACGTGCCAGGCGCCGTGCCAAAGGCTTTGCATGTATTTATCCCTCACACAAACCTGCGGGGCTGGTATTAATTCCATCATCGTTTAAGCTGTGTGAGACACACACAGCTATGTGAGGTCATTTGTCTGAGTGACACGGAGAAGTGACAAGCGGGATTGTCCAAGACCCAAATTTAAATTCTTAGGGGTGTGAATGTAGCCTGGTGATAGAATGCCTGCTTAGTGTATCCAAGGACCCAGGGTCACACAAATATTCTGGGGTTTGGGACTGGACTTTGGTCTTGGCATTGAGAGTACTGGCTGCTCTCCCAGAGGACACAAATTTGAGCCCTATCACACACAAGGCAGTTCACAACTGTCACTGATTTCAAGGTGACCAGCCTCTGCAGGAATCAGGCATACACGTGGTGCACATGCAGACAAAACACTCATGTACATACAGTAAAAAAAAATTGCGGGGGCTGGAGAGATGGCTCAGTGGTTAAGAGCACTGACTGCTCTTCCAGAGGTCCTGAGTTCAAATCCCAGCAACCACATGGTGGCTCACAACCATCTGTAATGAGATTTGATGCCCTCTTCTGGTGTGTCTGAAGACAGCGACAGTGTACTCATAAATAAAATAAATAAATCTTTAAAAAAAATTGCAAAAAATTTAAAAGATTATACACAATATTTGGTTTTCTTTTTTCTCCCCCCCCCTTTTTTCTTCTCCCCCCCCTGGTTTTTCTGTGTAGCCCTGGCTGACCTAGAACTCACTCTGTAGACCAGGCTGGCCTCAAAATCACAAGAGATCCACCTGCCTCTGCCTCCCAAGTGCTAAAATTAAGGACTTGCACCATCACTGCCCAGCTATTTTCTTAATATTTAACATTTAATTTTTATTTTATGTATGTGCGTAAGCCTGAGTGTATGTAGATGCACCACATGTGTGCAGAAGTCCACAGAGTTCAGAAGGGGCATTTGGTATTTTATCCCCTAGAACTGTAGTTACAAATAGTTTAGAGTTGTCATGAAGGTGCTGACACTAAACCTGGGACCTTTACAAGAGCAGTAAGTACTCTTAACTGCTGAACCATCTTTCCAGTCCTGAAAATTTAAAAGTCACATTTGTTTTTGCGTGTGTCTATGTGTTGTATTGTGTGGATGTGCATATGCATTCCACAGTGTATGGGGAGGTCTACAGCCAACTGGTCCACACCCTCCTGCTGTGTGTCCTGGGAATCGAACTTAGGTAATTGGACTTGACAGCAAGCACCTGCTAAACCTTTTCACTAGCCTCAAATTCCTGAGTTTGATCACAACCCTATACAGTCATCCATGTCTTCAAACTCCAGTATCCCAATCACCCCAGCATCTGCCATCTCCACCTGACAGGCCTTCCTG